GGACACAAGTCCACTGTCTGACAGGACAAGAATGGACACAAGTCCACTGTCTGACAGGACAAGAATGGACACAAGTCCACTGTCTGACAGGACTACATGGGATGGATGCCACTCTCCGCATCAGACCAGGTTTTCCCTAAAAGAACTCCAGTTGTCCACGTAGCCCACGTAGTTTTCATTACACCACCTGGACACCCAGTGGTGGAACGATGACATATGACTAAACGTGTCATCACTGGTCAGGTTGGACGAAGGACCAGAGAAAACTACAGAGTCCAAGTCTTGGCGAAGTCACACACWGAAGCAACYTTAATTTRAGTGACCACTGACTGGTGTAACCATGTAAATAACAATCTTACCATACTTAGCCTTAGTCAGCAGTTTCAGATAAGACTCGTGTCCTGCTCTGGCCCCTGGAATGCACTTAACTACGGTCACTGGGGTCCCTGTAGTGCAACGGTTGAACTATGGAGCTGCCAATGACTTCAGCAGGTGTGTCGCTGAGTGAGACTTGGTTTGAAACGTGAACGAGTCGATGGTGAACTGGGGCCTTAGCACTACTCTGAACCATCACCCAGTCGGCCTCATGGGGTCTAATGGAGGACCACTAGGGGGKGCTACTCTCGATGGTCCTGAGCTGCTAGCTAGAACCGAGCTTGTAGTTCCAAAGCTACCATTAGACTACATTTATTCTATGTTTCACTAATGGAGGCAGGAACAACTACACATCTGACACACACACAAGTGTGCACGTACACACACACACACACACACCATCACATCTTACACCTCTCAGTGGTGGGCCATCATAACACAAACTGATGACAAACTGGAGTGAATAAAACTTTATTAATCTTCAAAAAGACCTTACATCTGATACCTGCTGAGTCACAGTATTTACTGAATGCTGAGTCAGCATTCACTGCTGTTTTCATGTTTTTCTTTTCTTCACAATCAAATTACTCCTGCAGACTTTGTGGTGTTTTAGCTGCTCATGTATCCAAACGTTCGGCTCGTTCAGGAAATGGATTCTTGGGTTRTTGTTTCCTTTAAACGTAAATGTTGAAGCTTCTAGCTCCTCTTCATCACCATCATGTTCAGCGTTCAGACACAGGAGGTCTGAGGAGGTYAAGGAGGACATTATGTATCTCCTTTAAGAGGAGGTGTCAGATACCTGATGGTGGAGGACCAAACTCACATCATTTCAATTAATTAAATAAAAATACATGAAAGGACCAATAAATAAACACTTAAAACCACCACTTAAATTAAAAATAACTTAATTGACCTTCATATTTATTTTTCCAGCTTAGTTCCTATAAATTATATATTTCAGCACATTATTTTGTTTAGTTTAACGTTGAGTTTCAAACAAAGGCAAGGAGTAAAAACACTGACCTTTGCCTTTATTTTAAACTGAACTTGAATCTAAACTGAGGCAGCAGCACAGTAGATCTGCACATGGATCCTGCTCCTTCCTGTCTGCTGACCAATAGGAGAGCAGCTGACCCAAGAAGCTCCGCCCACTTTATTTACATAATAAGGCAGAAAAACAGGAGACAGAGAACTATAAAAACACATGGAAATATAAATATTTGTGGGAAAAACAATAAAATATAATAATTTAAGAGACATGGACAAGTAAAAGGAAAAATAAAATTTATATATTTTTAAAAACAGTAAAATGTAAATTATCTGCTAATATCTATAATTTATTGGAACTAAGCTGGAAACATAAATATGAAGGTTAAATAAATAATAAAACATGAGGTAAACGTCTCCTTTTTTCATTTAYTTGTTACATTTTAAGTGTATTTATTTATTTTTTGGTCCTTCGATGTATTTCTGCCTTTATTTGTAATTCTGTCAGATCCAGTCAGTGCACGGAGCAGCAGGTTCAGAACCAGTCCAGAACCACAGTGAGTTCTGTAAACTCAGCTGACACATGGTTCTGAACATCCTGGAGTAAACATGAAGGACCGGTTCTGTCAGGTTCTACAGGCAGGCTGGAGCTGCTTGTTCTGATGGACCAGTGGACTCAGAGTCCTGGCTGTGGTTCTGCTGGTTTTGGTGGTTCTGGTTCTGGTGGACTCAGAGTCCTGCCTGGTTCTGGTCCAACAGGAACCCAGCAGCTAGTCCTTCTTGTCTCTGTGGTAGCCGGTCTTCCTGTGGGTTCTGGACCTGACCTTCAGAGCAGAGTGGCTCTTCATCAGCTGACTCCGCCCCTCCAGCTGACTCCGCCCCCCCAGCTGCTTGTTGTCAGCTGGTTTCCATAGCAGCAGCTGAGCYTCCTCGCCCCCGGTGATGAGGGCGTGTCCCTCAGCGTCCCACAGGAAGCAGCGCACCGTGGACGTGTGTCCCCCCTGCAGGCTGCTGAGCAGGCGGAGCCCCCCGCTGTCACAGCCCATCAGGTGCAGGTCCCCCTCGCTCTGCCCCCCCACCACCAGCAGGGTCTGCTCCTCCTCCAGCCACTGCCCCCCCACCAGGTAGTCCAGGCCCCGCCCACCAGGCAGCGGCGTCAGGCTGCGTGCGTCACGGCAGCTGAAGAGGGTCAGAGGGCGGTCCGACTCCAGCTGGGCCACGTCCCACAGGTGCAGCCCCTCGGCGTGGCTCAGACACAGCAGCTGGCTGTGGTCCGGTCCGGACCAGACCACCACAGCTGCCGACGAGTCGCTGTTACAGGTGAGCAGCAGCGCCTGGTCCTCCGGCCCCTGGCTCAGGTCGAACACGTTCACCAGGCCGTCCATGGAGCCCGAGGCCAGGCGGTCCCTGTCCCGCGGGTGGAAGCACACCTGTGTGATGTCATCACTGTGCGACTCAGAGAAGACCCCGAGCAGCCGGCCCCCGGCCTTCCTGCAGTCCCAGAAGACCAGGAAGCTGTCCTCCCTGTCCACCTGCTCGGTGCCGGCACACAGCAGAGAGTCGCTGCAGTTCAGGTCCACGCTGCAGAACCTGTGACACGGGTCACCTGAGAACACCTGGACCGCCTCTGTCCCGGGGCGCCGCACGTCCCACGCCCGCACCGTCCCGTCAGCAGAGCCCGAGTACAGCAGGTCCGAGGAGGTCCGAGCGAAGGTCAGACCACACAGAGGCCCCGTGTGGCCCTGGTACTGGCCCAGCAGGTCCAGAGTGGTCCGGTCCTGCAGGCGCACTGTGTGGTCAGAGCAGGACACGGCCAGCAGACCCCCGGGCTGCAGGGCGCCGTGCAGCAGGTACATGGACCCGTCCTGCTGGGACCGCCGGGTTAGGGACAAACCCTTCAGCTTCTCCTCCAGTCCGTCCATGAGCCGAGCCAATCAGATCGATCTGAGACAGGAAGAGGAGGAGTTACAGAGCCAAGCCAAACAGATCGATCTGAGACAGGAAGAGGAGGAGTTACAGAGCCGAGCCAAACAGATCGATTTGAGACAGGAAGAGGAGGAGTTACAGAGCCGAGCCAATCAGATCGATCTGAGACCGGAAGAGGAGGAGTTACAGAACCGAGCCAATCAGATCGATCTGAGACAGGAAGAGGAGGAGTTACAGAAACAACTGTTCTTATTTTATTATTTAATCCCTGAGTTATTCAGTCCCAGAGTTATTTAATCCCTAAATTATTAAATCCAAGATTTATTTAGTCCCAGAGTTATTTAATCCTAGATTGATTTAGACCCAGAGTTATTTAATCCCTAAATTATTAAATCCAAGATTTATTTAGTCCCAGAGTTATTTAATCCTAGATTGATTTAGACCCAGAGTTATTTAATCCCTAAATTATTAAATCCAAGATTTATTTAGTCCCAGAGTTATTTAATCCTAGATTGATTTAGACCCAGAGTTATTTAATCCCTAAATTATTAAATCCAAGATTTATTTAGTCCCAGAGTTATTTAGTCCCAGAGTTATTTAATCCC